TATAATGACCAAGAAATGTAATTGCTCTCAACATTCACATGATTTTATGCATTGTTTCTGTTCAAAATTCAATCTTTTTTTGATGAATAAAAATCTAATTAATTTGATATACTAAACCCATGCCACATGCTTCTAGCCCAACAATAACTTCCTTTTCCCTTTTTGTTTTCATTCTTTTTTGTGAAGTATTAGAGCAATTAATGTTTTACCTTTTTCCATACACTTTTTGCACGTTAAATATGGTTTTATACAAAACTTTCTTTTATATACTTTTCACACATTGATATATAGTCTAATATTCCAAAAAACTTTAACTTATTCCATGTCACAAAACTTTCTTCTCTACATTTTTCACACGTTAATATATAGTCTAATATTCTAGAAAACCTTAACTTATTCCACACGTTAATATAATAAACCCACACCACATGCTTCTAGCCCAAGGATGACTTCCCCTTTCCCCTTTCCCCTTTTGCTTTCATTCTTTTCAATCAAGTATAGGAGTAATTAATGTTTCACTTTTTTTTTTACACTTTTTGTACGTTAATTATGGTTTTACACAAAACTTTCTTCTTTACACTTTTCACGTGTTAATATATAGTCTAACATTTCAAAAAACCTTAACTTATTCCACGTCTTTCAGTTGAAGAATTCTCCATTACAATAATGGAACACTACATCAAAAGTATTCTAACCAATAAAATGTTTATAAGTTATAAGATTTTCTTTCCATCACATTCATTATATGTTTCTCATGTTGGTTCTTGTTAATTATGATTTCCACAAAAGAAAAAGAAGAAGAAAAACCCTAATTGTTAAACTTACATGATCTAGTCTTTAACAATATTGATGAAATTATGAATCGACTCTGAAAAAATAAAACCCTAATCTATCAAAGGCGTCCGATTTCTTGGATCAAATTCCAAATTACGAAATCAAAATTATATCGATAAACAGATGCCCTCCAAGCGTTCTCGGCCCAGGACTAGATGCCCATATCTTTAATTCTTTATCTATCTTTAAATTTGGTTTTAAAGA